GACCTATCCTAGAAAATGTTGTGTTAATTTCTTCTTATTTCTGCATAAAGTGGGAAATGGATTACAGTAAATGTACTGTGATTCTCAGTTGGTTTAAAGTAGTTTTTCCCCTAAGAAAGTATTCCATTAACAAGGTACTGTGTCATTTTAGTTAATAGTGTAGCAGTCTGTTGGGAAAATATTGTTTGTAATTATTTTTCTATTCCTTCCAAGAACCATATTCTGTACCAGGGAAATGCTTGGAAATAATATCAATAATTAAAGTACATCTTAATTTTGATTATTTGCTATGGCTGTTGTTTCTTGCATGTATCTAAGTAAATATTTGCCTGTCATCTATCTGTCTGTCTGTCTGTCTGTCTATCTATATGTGTAAGTGCCTGTGTGCTTGTGTGAAAATCAGTGAGCATCCTTTAGGATTCAGTGTTCTTTCCACATACGGCTTCTAGGAATTGAACTCAGGTCACTAGACTTGGTGGCAAGCTCCTCTAGTCAGTGATCCATGTTGCCAGCCTCCCTTTTCTTACCTCCCAACTAATTTATGTCCCTCACCTCAGAATCAAAATATTCTACTCAAACAGTTTCACTAGAGGTATAACAATTCTCAAGAACCTTGTGAGTATTCACCAGCATTTATATTCATTGAGACTAGATAAGCAAATTTAGCTATAAATATCCAGTGTCCTAATAAAAGAAATCTGTCACAATAAGTTCGCTAGACATTTCTTAATTTGAAACCCATTTCTCATTTGATTGCTGCCTTTCTCTAAACTCAGAAAAATGCCAATGAGCTGTTCATGGTAAGACTATCTCAGCCACCATGAACCTTCTCTCTGCTGAGCAAGCTCTTCAATAAAACTCTATCTCCAAGATGGGGTTTGACTGGGTGAATGCAAACCAGTAGCCATATGACAGTAAAATCACAAATGCAAATGCAAGCTAATTGAAGCTCAATGTCAATTATACTTTTAGAGCAGATCTTACAAAAGTCGTTCTTTCCCTTCAATTAAATGGTGTAGATAAAGAGGCAAATGAGAGCCCGAATCCAGGATTTCACAATGAAATAGGTTCTGGAAATTCAAATCTCAGAAGAGAATCATTGGTCCCATTCCCTGCAAGTACCTGCACCAAGGTCACAGTGACAAAGGCAAGGTGGGTTGAAACTAACTTCGCCAATAATTTTTAAAGCATATCAGTATGTAATGGAGAAAAATTCTTGCTGATAGATTATATATTTATCTAAGATGTCACATCAGAAGAAGCTCCATAAAAATCATATTCATAGAATATATATATTCTAAGTTAGGTGTGAAAATGTAGTTTCACAACAATCAGCAGGAAAAATTACACTTACTTCAATATTAACATTTTTGACAAAAATAAAAATGTCTGTGTTCCATGAAAATTTTAATCCTGTGTTCCATGAAAATTTGATGGAAGACTCTATAGAGTCTTGAACACCTAGAAAACAAGGAAAAGAATATGTAAATTGCTGTATACTCAAACACTGGCTATAATGGTAAATATATTGGGCATAAAAAATGATCATCATTGTTGCACTAAAATACAAAGTCAATAGAGGAATATTAGTATATATTTATTTTTAAATTTTGATTATATGGTCAAACAGTATAGTTAAAACCACATTGAATATGTGAAATATGAATTATTTAATATAAAATACCCTAGAGTTGGAATATAGTATAAGGCTTTTTATCTAGCATTGCACTATGTAATTAATAATTTGATATCTGTCTGTCATCTGTATTACTTCTATACAAACTGCTACCTCCCATTGGCTCAAGAACGTGAGCTCAACAAGATCTTTTATTGAAACAAAGTTGCTAGAAAATCAAAACAGAAGTTTTGAAAAACTGATGAGATTGAATTTTTCTTTTAAGCAAGAATTCTATCTAGATCTACAGTATTTGAAAACTGTCCAAACAATAATCTTATGGCCTAGCAGTAACACTTAACTTAGGCGAAGCTATAAACGATGGAGCGCCTCTTTATCTTCCTTTCTTCTCAGAGTTAGGACACTCACCAGGAGTTTGGGATTCTGCTGAAGTTTCATAACTTGCCCCATAAGCAAATATCAACACTAGGTTTTCTAAACAAAATCACCAAGACCAAAAGCCAGGTAGAATGAAATTCTGGCTCACACTATGGTTTTTAAAAGTAGAGTTTTCGAAGAGACAGAGATGGACTCAGTCTTCCAATGTCTTGGTGAATTGTGAAGTGTGAAACATGGAAAGGGCTCCAGCATTTACAGAGTAACAAGCACAAAGTAATGACAGTTGCTTTCAAGTGATAGTAAGGGACACTTTATAGACCTCTCTGTGGTTTTCTGAAACCCTGGACAGTGGATAGCAATTCTAGTTGTTTGCTTTTCTTGTTCAGTGTTCTTAGATACTTGTCTTTTTAACTTCCTGTAGAAGTTATTTCTTCATGGGATGTGTATATATACTAACATATTAAAACAATATATATTATGATGTATCAATATGCAATATAAATAATATCACATATTAACATATAATTTCTTGTTTATATTATATATTAAAATATAATATATATTATCCTCTCTATAGGACATAAATCCTTTATACAATATATGTATCAATATGATAAAGCACATTACAAGATATACTTTTAATGTTTATAGCAATTAACGTTTGTCAGGTGTCTGCTGTAACTTATCCAGGATTTATAACATCTTATGTAGTAAGAGTTTATTACATTTTATATGTGGTGTGAGTTGCAAAGGGCTATGTGCAAGCCTCTTCTTAACCTGGAGATGGAGCTCATTTTAACACAGTGATTATGGCCTCTGTTGGTTGTTAACTTCTATTACTGAACCTTCTATTTTGCTTGACAGGATCACCTGTCAACATTCTACCAACACAAAGGCAACAAAAATACAGTATATTGGCTTCAAAAAGCAGCTTTTGTTTTGTGATATTGTATCCCAGAAATTGAAGTCTAATGTGGCGATTCTCTTAGATGAACGTTGAGCTCAAAGAAGGAAAAACTTTATTCTATTTAATTTTAATATAATATTTTAACTTTATTTCTGAGAATGTCATACATATGTATTTTATTTCTATCACATTCACTCCCGTTCCCTCAGCTCCTCTGTGACTCTCCCTTATTTACCTATCCAATATCACATCTTCCTTCCTCTTCCTCTTCCTCCTCCTCCTCCTCTTCTTCTCTTTTTCCTTCTCCTTCTTCCTCACTCCCACTGAGTTCTCTTAGTGTTACTTATACATGCACAGGTGAAAGGTGAGGGTGGAGCATCTACTGGAGTTTGGTCAACCTATCAAGACCTAAAGAAAACTGACTCTCTCTTTCCTAGGCATCAACTCTTTGCATCCAAAGTAGTGTGTGTGTACTGTGCCACTTCCATGCTGAAATGTTGACTGGCTTAATACTGTGCATCTCTCATACAGGTACTCAGAGACAGTAATGTTCTCCCAAGGCCATACGGCTTTGACTTCATGAGTACAGTGGTCTTGTTACATCCAGAAGTCACTGGCACTCCATTCTCTTACAATCATTTCACCCCCTTTTCTCAGTTAAACCTTAGGTTAGAATATGTTCAAGTGGGAAGTCAATCTGTGTGTGAGTACTGCAGACACGTGTTACCAGCATCTTCACCAGTTCTGTGTCTCTGTTTTAAATACTGTCCATTACACACACACACACACACACACACACACACACACACACACACACACATCTATGGGTATGGAAGGAAAGTACATAATTAAAAGTCAGTTTGATACTGTGGCTATTTAGCAAAATAATGGTAATAGGCTCACCCCTCGAGTCTATTACCTTCACAGTCACAGGTTCGTGGTCAGATTTATACTATCAGATAGGAGTTCCCTCCTGTGGAGTGGGCCTTAAATCCCACTAGAAAGTGACTGAAGACTCCTATGACATTCTAGTCATTACTGCACCCATGGCTATGTCTTGCCAAACTAGTCTTTATTGTCATTCACAGATTCATGGCTTGGGTAGGTTGATGATGGCTTTTCTATCCCAGCAGCCTAAACTGCAGCTTCTGGTTCTATAAAAGCTAGGCAGCATAGAGAAAGTTCCCAGATCAGCCCTTGTTTGATCTCTCTAAATCCAATGTCAAAGTGCATGAGATTTTCAGAAATAGCACATTACAATCAAGTTCTGGTGAGCAAGGAAAGACAACAGCACTAGCCTGTATTATTTGATGGGTTTCTGTGATCTCTCTGAAAAACAACTCAAGGGAAGTATCCCACACTTGGAACTAGAAATTTTTATTTGACAACCTGAGGAATGCTATCCCCTGTGTAGGGTTAACTCCATTTAAACTCCTCTACACACACACACACACACACACACACACACACACGTGAAAGTTTATAAAATAGTAAGTCTCTGTATAGCTTTCTTCAAACATCTTCAATGTTATTTATCCTCCCCAGATTCCCTCCTCTGCCCTACCTTTGAATCAAGAGAAGAAATTTTATTTATGTTTTCCAGAAGTAATCCTAACTCGAAAGTGTATTAAATAGAGAACCATATATGCTAAGACAAGTGACATCTAAGATTGGACATTGTTATAATAAAGAAAAATAATCATGTACCCTAGGGCTGTTGTCTTTGGCATTAGGAAAAAAATAGACAAAATCATAAAAGCAATAGTCAAAATGAAACGTAGTCACAATCAGACCAAATTAGAAAACAGAGTAGCTCAGGCATGACTGCACCCCTACCCCTGAATATAATTGGAAAGAGCTGCCATCATTCAAATGTTTGGATTTGCATTCTCAGTTTCCCATGATGAACACTGGGTTGAAAAGTCATCTGACTTTCTTTCTTACAGAAAAGCTTGCATAAGGCTCTACTACAATCCAAGAGTCAGCAGCCAGCCAGATTCCTTAGGACCCTATGGTTCTGTGTGGAGGACTATCAAGAGGAAGAATCTAAGATCATCCAGAAAACCACTGAGATTCATCATGACCTTCCCTTTCCCAGCTATTTATCACATGGTCATCATGACAGCAGAGTTCCTCATAGGGGCTACAGTGAATGGATTCCTTATCATTGTGAATTGCTATAACTTGTTCAAGATCCGAAGGTTCCTGATTCTGCAGACCCTCTTGATGTGCACAGGGCTGTCCAGACTCGGGCTGCAGATAATGCTGATGACACAAAGCTTCTTCTCTGTGTTCTTTCCATACTCGTATGAGGAAAATATTTATAGTTCACAGATAATGTTCATTTGGATGTTCTTCAGCTCAATTGGCCTCTGGTTTGCCACATGTCTATCTGTCTTTTACTGTCTCAAGATCTCAGGCTTCACTCAGCCCTGGTTTCTTTGGCTGAAATTCAGAATTTCAAAGCTCATATTTTGGCTGCTTCTGGGCAGTTTGCTGGCCTCTTTGAGTACTGCAACTGTGTGTATCGAGGTAGGTTTCCCTTTAATTGAGGATGGGTATGTCCCGAGAAACACAATACTAAATATAAGTAATGTCAAGATAATGAGAAAGAATGCCTTGCTCCTTGTTAACCTGACCTTATTGCTTCCCCTAACTGTGTTTGTGATGTGCACGTCTATGTTATTCATCTCTCTCTACAAGCACATGTACCGGATGCAAAGCGAATCTCACAAGCTGTCGAATGCCAGAACTGAAGCCCATATAAATGCATTAAAAACAGTGACAACATTCTTCTGTTTCTTTGTTTCTTACTTTGCTGCCTTTATGGCAAATATGACATTTAGAATTCCATACAGAAGTCATCAGTTCTTTGTGGTGAAGGAAATCATGGCTGCATATCCTGCCGGCCACTCCGTCATAATCATCATGAGTAACTCTAAGTTCAAAGACTTATTCAGGAGAATGATCTGTCTAGAGAAGGAAGAGGGAGAAGGAGACTGATTCCATGCTGTTTCTGGTCAGTTCCTCCCAGGCTGTACCCAGGACATGCAAGTCAATCACTTTACCTCGGATGGATAAAATATCAGTCTTCCATGAACTGTGTACTCAAACCCTTGTGATTTAATTAATAATATTAATTTCCCTGCAACACCAGCTTTGTTTTAGAAATTAGAACCAGGGTTAAGACTTCATTTGATAAATCAAAATGTGGATTCTGTTGTCTGTCTTTCCAGGTCATTGGGAATCTTCTGCTTGAAATAAGGGTAAACATCTGAACTGAGTCTAAGACTTAACAGAGCATATAAAAGTTGGATGTTTGGTATATTTAACTGTTTGTTGAATTGATTCAATCTATAGCAAAATGCAAATGGCATGATATTACTATATATACTGAGGGTGACAGCACAGCTCTCCTGGATACCAGGGTAAGACCTCATCCACTTTTGACCCCAAGTGGATGACAGCAAGGGAGGGTCAGGTGCCACTTGAGGCGGCCTACATAAACACACAAGAACAAATAAGGATCTCTGTTTTTGTTTTGTCTTCAGCAAAATGAAGACAAATTTTTCAACCTCCTGGAGTATCCAGTTTATTTCCAGAGAGAAAGTATAGAGGAGGATGCTGAATGAAATCTCAGGAGGAAGCACTCCCTAAGAGACCTGACCTTATCCCTCACTGGGACTCAGGTCTGGGTACAGTAGCCGGAAGTGGGTTAGGGACTTAAGTGAAAATGTTGGGATTTGATTTGAGGAGGAAAAATAATTTTTTGACGCAACTTCCATTGCCTGGGATACCAGTTCAACTCTGAAAAATCCTCTTTGACTCTTAAGCCAAAGCAATATGTCTTACTTTGATTGTAACAGATTGTAATTAAAATTGATTGAAGGCTGCAGGGTTGAATAAAAGCTTTGATAGGTATATATACACAATGGTATACTCCCAGATAAAAATTTGAAAAATTCCTAACACCGTTGTCACTGATCTCTGAAGAAACGTTTCCTTATATTTGAGCAGACACTGAACTCACCCAGGAAATTTGAGTGAAGCCACATTGTTAGTCCTGACATGAGTGCTTCTGATTCAGTGGCTGGGAAGCACCTGAGGTTAGCATTGATAACAAGTCTCCATATAATATTACTGCCTGTGACTTGGAGACACTTTGAAAACCAGTGGTTTACAATAACAGTGGTTAAGGACCTAATTTCTGAGGGCTAGTTGGAAACGTTTCCACTTTACCAGTTGCTTGATATGTTAACTTGGAAAATTACTATACTCTCTGCCTTAACTTCTTCATCTCTAAAATATGACAGTAAAAAAACATACCCTGATTCAACAGTGAGTTTTGAAGTGTCAGCCAGTATAAAAGTACTTTAAACCTCATGTAGAGCAAAGGTCAGTTAAGGCACAAATGTTATACTGTCATTCTATTCTTTATTTCTTAAACAAACGTCTGTATTTATTTGAGAATGTAATAATAAAATTGAAAAATTATTTTCATACTTTAAGAACAGAGATGGCATATGCTCCAGTTTAAAATGATATACTGGATTTTTATTTGAATGCAGCATAGAAGGATTCCAATTCAGTGCTTGGGAGCACCTGAGTCAGGCAGAGCTTACGAGTCTCCATATGATATTCCTGCTGGTGGCTTAAGGATACTTTGAGAACATTTATTTACACAGTGGTTAAGAATCTAATTTCCAAGGCCAAGTTGGTCATATATGCCCTTCATCGGTTGCTAGTTAGTTACATTAACTTGATGAGCCCCTTGGTATGTTAGGAAAGATGACAGACATGGATGAAAGGAGGGAAACACCAGAGGACACCAATAGGACAGGATGCCTATGGGGGTTGAGACAAGGCAGGTGACAAGACAATGCATGGTGACACCCATGATGCCATCGGTTATAGCACACTGTTGGACTTGTGGTTCCTTGATCTGCACCATAGCATAATACACATGGCTTGAGCATACTTAGCAGGAGGGCTATTGCACTTGAAAATTGATCACCATTTCTAAGGGTGATAAGAAGGTTCCTCTTCTTCACAGCAATCAGTGATTGTGTGTTTGAAAAAGTTTCCTTTAGTGCTGTTCTGTGTACAGCAAGCTGGACTCGCTAATATGAACTCAAAATTACCTTGCTCCATCTGGATACTGAGACAGTTAGAACTGGAGTCTCTTTTCCTGTCCATGTGATACAAATACTTCCACTCTTAGCTCCAACCAGACTCTCTGCTTTTTCCCTCAAGAAGGGAAACACAACTCTTGCCAGGTCCTCAAAGTCACTACACATTGGCCAGACAACTTTTCCAAATGACTCTCGAGGACAGATCCCACATAAAGCCAATACTCTTTTACTCAGATAGTGTCTAAGTTTGTTTTGCTCACTTGCCCTTGCTCTCAAGTGTGTAGTGTGATAAAGGCCAGAAATAAGAATCACTATTACCTGTGTGTCCAGCAGAGTAGCTCCGATGCCCGTCTGTGAGCTGTGAAAAGGAACAGAAAGCCATGGCTTCTCAGCACCCCTTCGTTGGAGTTGCCTTGTCTGCTCTGTGATGATGGTCACACAGAGACTACCTTTCACAACACTCTCAGGGACAAACTGACACAAGCATGACTTTCCATATCTAGTGCTTGCCCTTCCAACAAGTTTCTAGAAATTTCCATCTCCTTCCCCATTGTCAGTTTTCTTAATGTTCTGACAGGTGACTCATGCTGTGTTCCAGCCTGGATCTATGGGCCTAGCACTGTTCTGTCATTCGCTCTTCACCTGGCCTGAGCTCTATTTCTGTCGTGCCACATCTGATATTTCCAACATCAAAACTGTGCACTTGATAGAGAGAAAAGTTAGACCTCAACCGTCAAATATAAAAGGGCAGCAGTTATTATACCCCACAAATAAACTCATTCTTATGTGTTTCTTCTGAAAAAAAAAAAGATGTATTTTATGCCCCCTGTTAAATTATAAATGAGTTCAATAGGTTACCTGTCATCTGATACAATTATTACTACAACGAATTCTCAGTTAATGCATTGGTGTAAGTGCGTTGTTTAAGTAGCATTCATGAGGAACCATGTTGCTTTAAAGCCCAGAGGTACAAGACTCAGTGAATTAAAGTTTTCATTTACCACATTACCTTCCCAACTTGATTGGGAACTGGAAATAGCTTGTACATCCCATATATTCCATGTGGGATAAAAGTTTAGCATACATGCAAGATCATCCACCTCGAAGGAGAGAGTCTCAAATAGTTTATAACATTTCCATCTCAGAGAATGCCTTCTTAAGAGTGCTGGAAGGGATGTCAAGAAGTTGCTTCTTCTCTTTATCCATGCCAACATCAGCATCAGCGCTGCCCCTCCTTGTTCTAGGAGACCTTCAGAGAAATTGTCTAACCCTAGGTATCTTTCATTTATTCATTTCTCATACAGAACATACACTATGCATGTGACATTTTGTACACTGTCTTACATCATGTGCTTACAGTTTTATCTTTGCTAGACAAGAACTTTTAATATTGCTGAGGAATAGAGTCACAGTACAATGAAGTTTTAACTCCAAATATATGGTAACAGCCAACTAATCAAAAATAGTCACTTGAATATATGCTTTGGGTTAAGAAACTGATAGTCACTTGAATATATGCTTTGGGTTAAGAAACTGATGCCTCTCTGTAAAATAAAAACAGATGAAATCAGATAATTCTATTTTCAAAAGTTGTAATGTTTAGTTGACTCAATTTTATTGGCATTTTCTTTTTTTTTATTTATTTATTTTTATTCTTTAATCCTTTTTAACAATCCAGACTTCATCCTCCTCCCCCTGCTCCCGACTGTTCCCCATCTCATACCTTTCCCGGCCATCCTGTCTCCAAGAGGATGTACCCACCCCCTACCTCCATCCCACCAGGCCTCCCCACTCCCTGAAGCCCAAAGTCTCTCCAGGGTTAGGTACATCTTTTCAAACTGAGTCCAGACCAGGAAGTCCTCTGCTGTATATGTGTCGGGGGCCTCATATCAGCTGGTGTATGCTGCCTGGTTGGTGATTTAGTGTCTGAGAGATCTCAAGAGTCCAGGTCAGTTGAGACTGCTGGTCTTCCCATGGGGCCACCCTCCTCCTCAGCTTCTTCCAGCTTTTCCCTAATTCAACCACAGAGGTTCCTAACTTCTGTCCATTGATTGGGTGCTAGTATTTGCATCTGACTTTTCAGCTGCTTGTTGGGCCTCTCAGAGGGCAGTCAGGCTAGGCTCCTGTCTACAAGCACACCACAGCCTCAGTAACAGTGTCAGTGCCCCTGGCCTCCCCTTGTGCTGGATCCCAATTTGGGCCTGTCACTGGACCTCCTATCTCTCACGCTCTTTTCCATTTCTGTCCCTGCAGTTCCTTCAGGCAGGAACAATTCTGGGTCAGAGCTTTTGACTGTGGGATAGCAACTCCATCCCTCCACTTGATGTACTGTCCCTCCACTGGAGGTGGACTCTACAAGTTCTCCATTTCCACTGTAGAGCACTTCATCCAAGAAAAAATAAAAAGATCTCTTTACGTTGAACGTCGTGAAATGGTACAGGAAAATGTCCTTTTCTACTTCAGCTTATCAACTAAGACAAAATGGAAAGTTGTGTACTGCCACCTAGTGGTGAGCATTCACTTGCACTAAATACTCGCTGAAATGAAGGCATGAAGAGTCCCATGGCTCCAGCCGCATATGGACATCAATGGGAGGAGAGGCCTTTGGTCCTGGGAAGGCTCGATGCCCCAGTGTAGGGGAATGCCAGGGCGGAGAGGCAGAAGTGGGTGGGTAAGCACCATCATAAAAGCAGGGGGAGGGAGGATGAGATAAAGGGTTTCCGGAGGGGAAACCGGGAAAGGGGATAACATTTGAAATGTAAATAAATAAAATATCCAATAAAAAAAGAAGACTCCAATCACAAGAGAGCTTTGTCAAAATAATTTTGTATTCCACCGAAAGTATGAAAAGAGGAATAAGTGACTAAATCA